ACAGTTGATCTCCTTTTAAAAGTTTTTGAATGTGTTTGCTATGTGCATATCCCAAGTGTGTATCGCTCAAAACTTGATCTCAAAGCTGAAAAATGTGTTTTTATTGGGTATGCTTCCAATAAACGTGGGTGCAAATGCTTTAATCTCGAAAAAAAAAATTTGAGAGCATGGATGTCAAGTTTGTCGAGGATCATCCATTTTTTCAAAATAATTTTCTTCAGAGGGATACTTTAGTTGAAGAAAATAATTTTTGGGAAACTTTACCCATTTCTTAACTAATTCTGATATGGAAACTAGGGTCAGCACTACTAATCCTATTTTGTCAGATGTTACTTTATGAGAGACAGGGGGAGAAGTACTTCCAATGGATCATAATCTTCAACATGAGCTGCATGTTTATACTAGGAAGAAATTTCATAAAGTTACTACAGCCTCAGTTATTCCCTCAGCAGATGTTCAATCACCTTTGCTTCGATAATGACCCAACAACTTAGAATAATCTTCCCTCCTCTACTTCCACTCCTGATCTTGATCTTCTAATTGCTTTCAGAAAAGAAATTTAAACAAGCACGAAACATCCTATCACACAATACTTGTCATATGAAAAACAATCAAAAAATCATAGGGCATTTGTGTCTAGGATTTCTAATATGCTTGTTCCAAGCACTGTTCGGAAGCATTAAGTGAACCCAGTTGGAAATTTGTTGTGATGAAAAAAATAAATGCTCTTAAGAAAAATAAAAATTAGACAATTATTGATCTACCTAAAGACAAAAAAACGGTTAGGTGCAAATGGGTGTTCACGGTGAAGTTTAAAACTGATGGAAGTGTGGAGAGATACAAAGCGAGATTAGTAGCAAAAGGATTTACTCAAACTCATGGAATCGATTACCATGAGACTTTTGCTCCTGCTGTTAAAATTAACTTTATTAGAGTACTTCTTTCCCTTGCAGTTAACTTCGACTGGCCACTTCATCAATTTGATGTAAAAAATGTGTTTTTAAATGGAGAATTGCGAGAAGAAGTATATATGGACCTACCACCCGGGTTTGAAGAAAAATTTGTAAAAACTAAAGTATGCAAATTAAAAAGAGTCTCTGTACGGGTTAAAGCAGGCTCCTAGAGCTTGGTTTGAGCGTTTTAGTGATGTTATCAAGAAACATGAATTCTCTCAAAGCCAAGGTGATCACACTCTTTTTTTTCAAACATTCCATCAAAGGTAAAGTAGTCATTGTGATTGTGTATGTAGATGACATAATTATGACATGGGATGATACTCTGCAGATTAGCAACTTGAAGAGGAAAGATATTAAGGACTTGGGAAAGATGAAATATTTCCTCGGGATGGAGTTTGCAAGAACTGAGGGAATTTTTGTAAATCAACGCAAGTATGTACTTGATTTACTCAAAGAAACAAGAATGACAGTTGCAAGGCAGCAGATACGCCAATTAAACATAATATAAAGTTGAAAACAACAGTAGTTAATGAGGTAATGGACAAAACACGCTATCAACGATTTGTAGGGCGACTAATCTATTTGACTCACACTCGACCTGACATAGACTTTGCAGTGAACGTTGTGAGTCAATTCATTTATTCACCTAGACCTACTCATTTCGAAGCTGTATTTTGAATTTTAAGATATCTCAAAAGAACCCCTGGAAAAGGACTTGTTCAAAAAGGGAGAACATTTCTAATAGAGGCCTACACAGATGCAGTTTGGGCAGGAGATGTAAATGATAGAAGATCCACATGAGGTTATTATACCTTTGTAAGCGGAAATCTTGTGACTTGGAAAAGTAAAAAACAAAGGATGGTAGCAAGAAGTAGTGCTGAAGCAGAATTTCGCTCGGTGGCACATGAACTCTGTGAAGTATTATGGATAAAAAAACTCCTGGAAGAGTTGAATAATCCTATACCAACACCTATTAAAGTTTACTGTGATAACAATGCTGCAATCTCTATAGCTCATAATCATGTTCTACATGACAGAACAAAACATGTAGAAGTTGACATACATTTTATCAAAAAGAAGATAGATAGTGGTGTGATATGTATGTCTTACATACCCTTTGCTAGCCAAACAACAGATATTCTAACAAAAGGTCTTTCCAAAGTGTAACACGAGAATCTAGTTAGCAAGCTTTCCATGAGTGACATATTTATGCCAACTTGAGGGGGAGTGTTGAAAGATCTCATGAATAATAATGATTCTATTCCATATTTGTTATAACTCTATATTTAGAGGGTGATAAATTAAATAAGGGATCTTAGAAATCTCTATTTATTTTTTTCTCCTTATTTAGAGAGATTAGTTGCCTCTTATATTTGATATTATTTCTTTCCTTGTCTATTGAATTCTGTTTTTATTGTTTTCCTTACCTATAAGTACTGTAATGGGTATTTATACCCCCATTTGCATTAATAAGAATTAAGTCATCTTATACTTTTCCACTGTTTTCACTATCTTACATGTAAATTACTACTAACCGAGGATGCTTGTGATAAAATTGCTACTGATTTTTGCATGATAAAGCAACTTATGATTTTATGTTCAGATTAGCAAAATAAAAATCAAATACTTAATTCCATTGATAAAAAAAATCAATAAATTGGAGAAAATAACAGAAATCTAAAATTCCATGCTCTTCATCATTAATGAGCACAATATTAATGCAAATTTTTTGTTTAGTCACTTTCATAGTTTTGATTATAGTTTTGGTGCACGAATGCCAATAATGATCATATATAAAAATGGTATTCGTTGTCTATTTTTTTCTCTCTTAATTTAGTTTATTAGCTTAAAACACAAAGTGTTATTCATTCAGCTCTCATCGAATTCCCTAATTTAACTTTCTTTCAATTCCGTAGTTTGAAAATGTGATTCTCTCTTGTTTTGTAGCAGAAACAAGATTAGTTCCCAATTTAGTATTTTTCACTGATTGTGATAGGTGTACTGTTTATTGTTATAAATGGTGCTTCAATTGGTTGTTAATTATACGGATAGAGATTTAATTGGATAATTCAAGGTTTCTAACTGATAAGTATTGATAGTTTCTAGAAACACTCGTCTTTGATGGTCGAGTCATGAGATAGAGAAAAATATGAATGAAAGCTATGGATTAATTTGCAATTATACTGAACCAAAAGTTGCTCTAATGGATTTCTTAATGTTGTTCTTGTATCTTGTCAATGTAAGAGAAAACTGGATATCCCAAGTTTAAATTTTTACCCTATAGTAAATTGTTAAAATTATTGTTTGTGGCTATGGCATAATAGCCAAAACTGTACTTTTGTTGATATTAAATTCTAAAACTCCTTTTTATTTTTGGAATTGAAGTTTGATGAGATCTAGATTAGCAAAAATTTTAGGTCAAATTCTAAGGACTAAGAAATAAAGTTATTTTTGGGTCTTTACTAAATATAAATAGGACTCTTAAGCCCATATCTTTTTGCTTTAGTTATGGATGCTCTTACTGGACATTTACAGGAGGATGTACATTGGTGTATGTTTTCACTGATGATATCCTTCTTGTAGATAAAACTAGAGAAAAACCTCAGGAAAAACTTGAATTATAGATTGGAGACCTACATTGGATTTTAAAGGCTTTCATTAAAGTAGAACTAAAACTGAATATATGAAATGTAATTTTAGTGGTAGTAGCTCTAGTGACAGAGTTATAACTTCGAATAATAAAATTATTGAAGGTGTGAAAGCTTTAGATATCTCGGTTCTATTGTTCAAAGTGATGGTGATATAGATGAGGATCTTATTAGTAGAATTCAAGCTGGTTGGTTGAAGTGAAGGAATGTTTCGGGCCTATTCTCTGATAGAAAAGTATTGCTAAGACTAAAAGGAAATATTTATAAGATGGCGGTAAAACCTGCAATGCTCTATTGTGCTAAATGTTGGCCTTTAAACGAGAAACATAAAACTAAGTTAAGTGTTTTCGAGATGAGAATGCTTAGGTGGATGAGTAGCTTTACACTTAGAGACAAAATGTGAAATGATATCGGTGATAGGTGGTGAACAAAATTAGAAAGAGTCATCTTAGATGGTTAGGTCACATTAAATATCGACCATCTAATGATCTGGTTAGGAGGGTAGATATTTTAGATTCCACTTATGTTAAGAATTGCAGAGGTAGACCTAGAAAAACTTGGACATATTGTATAAAAAGTAATCTTAATTTATTAAAATTAAATGAAAATATGACACTCAATAAGCCGCAATGAAGAAAAAAAATTCATGTAGCTAACCCCACTTAGTAGGATAAAGATTTGTTATTGTTGCTTTTGTTGTTGTGTCCGCGTCATATTTTCATTTCATTCTAATAAATAAGATCATTTTTATACAACATGTCCAAATCCTCATTCGAGTAATGAATAAAAAAAACAATATTTCTATAGTTGTTTAGCATTAGATGGCTAGATGGCAGATTTGAGTAACTAAGCACATATTTTTGCAACATACTAGCTATAAAATTTCACACGAATTCAAGCTTCTAGAAAGTGAAAAAAATGGTTTCATGATTCAAAGAGGAAACATAAATATTAGCATTTCATGATACCTAAATTGAGATTATTAAAGGTAGCATATGCGCTATTGTTAAATAAAAAAAAGAGAAATAATTAAAATGTTTAGAAACTTATAATATTGAAAATTTCGACCACGATTCAACTTAAAAGTGTAAGCAATTTTTTAAATACAAAAACAAGAATCACAGAATTATGCAATTGTAAAAATCGTAAAGCTAAATAGAGGGACGAGTTATTTTATTTTAAAGTCCTAAAATGAGATGCGGCAAATTTGATATTTAAGCTGCACAATGATAATCCCTCAACTGCAGGTGATTCGAACTCTTGGATGAAGCCTACTTTATCCTTATTAAAAGCAAAGATCAAATTTTCAAATTCCATAAATAAACAAAGGTAAATAAAGAAGCCACGTATCTTTAAATACAATAGAAAAATTCATGATTTATAAAGAAAATAGTTTTCACATCACATTAAAAAAAAATAGCAGGTTTAATACCTTCAAATTCTGAGGCTCAAGGGTTTTAAGATACTCCAAAAGTTCATTATGTCCGTTGGTGGATCTCCTCTTAACTTGTTGATTCAGCTCCTCAATTTCTGCTTCAAGATACTCTATGTATTTTACTGCATCCATTTTCTCGGCGCCAGAAACCTTATTCCACCTGATAACTTCTCCACTCACTTTCTTCTGGGATCCAGGTGCATAATTTGGGACATCCTGCAATTAAAATTGGTTGGATCTTACGAAACATTGTTACAATGAAAATATAGGTTATTGAATTTCATCATTGCACCCTATTACAAGTTGAATAACAAGGAAAATGATACATGTATTCATAAAATTAAAATAAAATACTTAATCGATTACATTACAAGACTACTACAAAATCCGAGCATAGTGCTTAGCATCATGGTTTTGATTAATTGAACTCAAGGCTAGCATCATCATCATTAGCCATATCCCAACTAATTGGGGTTAGCTTTATAGAACTTCATTCTTCATTCATTTTTGTTGAATGGTGCATGAGCTAAACCAATTATGCACAAATCTTTTTTGCACGATCAATATCCACATTACCATTCATCACACATATTTCTTCATGGTAGTTCAAGTTAAAATTTTATCAATCCAATTTTATCAATGCATTTTCTATCATTTATTGCATATGTTTAAAGTACTAGAGTGTTTTTTCCATTTCCTTATAATTAACAGACCTTACCTCAATGGTTTAAATAATCAAATCATTCCTCAGACTATATTTTCTAATTTCACCATACCATTTATTCTAGGCTCCCTTTGCCTATCAATCAAATTTTACAAGTCTAACACTCAATCATGTAATATACCTAACCTAATCAAAGTGTTAAACAATTTACCATTGCATCTTAATGACTTTCTCTCATTGCAGAAAAATACTTAAATATTTCTCCATTTTACCACCTAGAACTTCAGAAATTATATCTTCATCTATATCTCATTCTTTTATATAATAGCCACAATAATTAAACATATCATATCTAAGTATCACTCTACCTATTAAGTAAGGAATTCTTTTCAAAAGAACATGGAATTTTGAATATTTATCTAGTATACCGTATACGTTCAGTAAAAAAAACGTCTTAATCCATATAATGGATACAATGTAGAAAATTATAAGAGGAAAGATTTGTTTTACTTTCATTAATATTGATTCTATACTATGCATTTGCAAGATTTAGCCAACATTCTAAAACCTCATATATGTTGCTTATTAAGCCTAGTGCAATTTAAAATGTGCTTTGAGTGAAGTGTTGCAGTGCAAAGAAGCAGTGTTTCACTACAATGCAAAGCGCGCCAGCACAACAAAGCATGGTGGTCGTTGAGCAACACAATATTATGCACCATCACGTAATGTGCTAAGCACACATGTGGTTTAGAAAAATCAACAATTATAATCTCCAAGTTCACACCCTCACCAATTCAACCATACCAGCTGATTCACTTGTTCTACCTATAAAGTTAGGGCATGAGCAAAAATGAACAAAAGTACCCCTTAACTTTTCACTTTCCTAGTTCAAGCTGTCGGCTTCTCACTTTATTCTCTCTTGGTACACAACAATTTTATTTTCTCTTCTAAACTCCGAAAGAAATGAAATGGCAAGGCTTCAGATCATTTGTTGCTCTTGTTCTCACAAGTTTCCTTAATTTTCACTTGCTATTTTATCATTTTATTCGTTATACCTTAAATTAGTTCCGCTATACCTTGAATTGTTAATATTTTTTCAATTTTGTTTGGATTTATGTTTGTCAACTTCTTAACAGCTCAATTTTGCTTTTTCATGGTACACAGCCTGTCCAAATTTTGTCTACAATTTTTCATGTATAAATTTAATTATATTTGTTCCTTGTGATATGTGTACTTCAATATTTCAAGTAACAAAAGTATGCTTTGCTTACACTTCAAGCACCCAAAGCAAAAATACCCTTTCACGCATCACATTGTATTGTGCTTTAACAATGTTGATTTAACCTTTAAAAATTTCATAGAAAACTTCTCCATTCTGCAAAATGTGCAAGCCTAAATGGGTTGTATCCTGACCACTCCTTGACATAGGATGGGTAACTAACTAAACTAAAGATGTCATGCCAGCAGCATGTTAGGTGAACTAGAGTGGATGATAGCACCTACCAGAGTGTGATGAACAATGATATTGTGAAAACGCATTCCGCCGAATCTAACTCTGTAAAATGTATGAGACCTCATCATCGTTTCAACTATTTTAGGATGGCTCTATGAAATCTACTTTACTGAATCGTCTTGATTGTATGTATTAAAATTCAACTCTAGATTTTTTTTTTTTTTTTTTTTTTTTGCGGCAGCGTTGGGCGGCTCTAACCATTTTACATTTTGACAATCCATTTGTTTACTATTACTTTTATGCCTATATACACTACCAAAAATAGTTAAATAGCATCCAAATTTGCGTCGAGCAAGTTCGAAGCCAAATATTTGCGCTTGATTTATGGCAACCATTATTAAGGATGATTTTTGTGTAGTAATATGACAACACAAACATTTAGCATCGAGAAGCGGTGAGATTATTCCTCCTAATCTTTGTCATTTAATAGCGGCAATGGTGCGGTCGAAGCAAATTACATAACGATGTATGTAGTAAACGTAAATCCGATGCTTAACCCTTCTGATCTAAACCCACACCCGTCGGGCTCATTTGCGCTCTCAACTATTCTATTGTCAAAAACCTACCTCCCAGCAACCGCTCCTCTCTGACAATCATCCGGCAACCTCACAGCCTATCCTCTTCCAAAGGCTTCAAGGTAATTTCCTTTTTTTTCTGCATGTCATTTGTTGATTCCTTTGTTTTTTTCTTTGTCGAATTAATTAATTTTTCTTTAGGTTTAATGATTGGGATTTAGACATGTCTTCGAGGGTGTTTAACTGCAAGTAAGATTTAGAATTTGTTTGATTTAGAAAATACGAAAAGTTTAAATACATATCACCCAATTCATAAGTATTTACATATTTAACACCTAAACCATTGTTCACATGTATACCACCACCCAAATCTTTCATTTCACATCAGAAATACCTCTATTTTAACTTTTATAGAGTTAAAGACACATTTTTATACATAGGTAAGGTAGCACATGTGTAAAAATTGAAGTATATGTGTTAGATATGTAAATAGATAGGAAGTAAGTGACATGTATGCAAATTTTACAATAAAAAAAGATAAATCGATCTATAAAATCCACACTCCCCGTGGATTTAGTAAAACCGGATTTAAGTCGAATAGAAGGCAAAATTTCGGCCCTTATATCTCTAGGATTTAGTAAATCTCAAAATTTGTAAATTCATGTAACAGTTGCATTTTTATGTGTTTGTGCATATATATATATATATATA